AAAGTTTTCTGAAGATTAAAAATAATAATAATAATGGCTCAAGACTGAACTGTAACTCAGGTCACTATCTGAAAAGCTATAATTTAGAGATGCAAGATGCCAGATGCCAGGTAATATAAATCACTAAGTGATTATCATAATGGGGAAAAAAAAATCCAAGAATAGTTCTTACGTAGGCAGACAAACCATGGGGTATCTAACACTCCATTTAGGTTTAGGGTTTCATTGAGAATCATACCACTGATTCAACATAGGTAGAGACACACACCAAACGTGGCTTAGATTATTCCAGAATCAAAACTGTGAAAACATCTCTGCTACAAAGTAGTCAGTCAGTCAGATCAGTCGCTCAGTCGTGTCTGACTCTTTGCAACCCCATGGACTGCAGCACACCAGGCTTCCCTGTCCATCACCAACTCCTGGAGCTTACTCAAACGCATGTCCATCAAGTTGGTGATGACAAAGTAGTCAGTGTACCTACTACTACAAACATCTGCATGACTGGAGATCTGATAACCAGCATTCAGCATTTCGTCCTAAAGAAGGTAGACGTTTATGGGGAGCAAAGGCCTCTAGGTAAGATGAAGCGAGCCACCTTCACCATCTTTAAAGGGTTACTCTTTCCTTATGTATACTTAACAAACAGCATCCTTGCAGAGGGAGTCTAAGGTACTTGAGGCAATGGCTTCCAATAACATATGCCTCCAACTCTCTCATCAGATAATACTATTTCCCCTTTCTCTTCACTTTCTAATCAATTAAATAATCATGGGAGGAAGGAGGGGATAGGTAGGAAAGAAAGGCAAGAAGGATTCAAAACAAATTTTAAGAGAAACAGTGATATCAAAGTATTTAAGGAGGAGGAGGGATTTTCCCTCAATATTTTTTCTTTCAATAATTTTAAATCTAGTAAAAATTTGAAAGACTAATACACCCTTCACCTAAATGCACTGTCAACATTTTAGGAAAACATTTTTACATAGGATAAAACCATCAGTGAAAAGCTGTCTAATTAAGAAAATACCATAAAGAAGCAGCCAATTAAGCCAAGGAAGGGAAGAATGTGCCAGGCGCATGGAAATGCCTATAGAGAAGTTCTGTGGCAACTAAAACCATGCAGTGTGGTAGGAAAGAGAAAACGGTGAACAATGTCACTGAAGAAGTAAGCAAAGGTCATTATCTAAAATAGCCTTGGGAGCCATGTAGTTTCGATTTTGAGTGTAATGAGACATCAAGGGAGAGATTTAGGAAAGCTTCCTCATCTAAGTTTTCTGGCTTTTTAAATATTTATTTATTTGACTCCACTGGGTCTCAGTCGTTGCAAGTGGGATCTAGCTCCCTGACCAAGGATTGATCCTGGGCCCCCTGCATTGGGAGTCTTAGGCACTAAACCACCAGGCAACTCCCCTGACCTAAGTTTTTAAAGGATTCTTCTGTGTCTGGGGTCTGCTTCATAATAACCTAGGCAACAGAGGACAGAGTTATAGATGACACAAAATTACAAAATTTCACCGAACCTTGGTGATGAGCATGTGAAACTTCATTATACAACCTTTTAAATTTCTATAAGTTTTATATTTTATATTTAAAAAGATACAGGGGCTATGGAGATTACTTGGATTGTTCTCAGGAATGAAACGGAGCTGGGGGTGAGGGGATGAGGGATACTACTAATTAGGAAGCTACTACCATATTCCAGGCAAGAGATAATGATGGCAGGACTACCTTGGTGGTCCAATGGTTAAGGCTCCATGCTTCCAACGCAGGGGACCTGGGTTTGATCCCTGGTCAGGGAACTAAATCCCACATACCACAAGTAAGATCAAAGATCCTGTGTGCTGCAACTGGCACAGACAAACAAACAAAAAAGATAATAATGGCATGGAAGAAGGTGGTAGTAAAAAAGATGTAGACAAGTACCATCAAGGAAAATTGCAAAATCTTGAAACTTCAAAATTTCTAACAAGTACCCTCCCCAATCTTAATCTGAGAAAGTGACTATTATTTACCTGTCTTTTATGTAATTACTACTGATTTGTTCATTTTTAAAAGCAGAAACCACAACTTTTTGATTAGTCATGATTTAGAAAGGCAACATACACATAGATATTTAATAAAGTAAAATAAATTTACGTGTACCACCAAGTCTTATTTCTCATATTCTTCAACATTTCAAATGTTCAAAAGAAACAGTTGCTCGGTTGTGTTCGACTCTTTGCGACCCCATGGACTGCACTCCACCAGGCTCCTCTATTCCTGTGATTCTGCAGACAGGAATACTGGAGTGGGCTGCTATTCTCTTCTGCAGAGGATCTTCCCAACCCAGGGATCCAATCCAGGTCTCCCGCACCGCGGGCAGATTCCTTGCCGTCTGAGCCACCGGGGAAGCTCGCACTTAACACACAGCTCAGCGCTCCTTAAACCTGTTACGTGCACACAGTGAAAAGCGCTAGAAAGAGTCAAGAAGTGCAAACCTCAATTTCTCCATCCATAAATAGAGGTGCACCAGGTGAACTAAAGACTTCCAGCTCTAATATTCAATGTCCAAATCTAAGTATTGCGGTAGGCATTTATTTGCCTTAGAATAACACAGCAGTAATCATAGGATTTACCATTTTTGAACTGAAAAGTATACTCTCTGATAAACAAGAAAACTTAGCAACTAAGATGTGATAGTAACTGCCCAAGATCAAAGAGAGCAGAAAGAAGATCCCAGGTATCTGGCCTTCCAATCCAAGCCTCACTGTAACGTTTCTTAAAGTAGCAAATGGATGGAGGAATGGTTCAGAAGACCTAACTTATGAATCAAGCACCTTTTTGCACAGCTCAGTATCTGGGTTCTTACCTTGGGTTGCTCCTGCCTGTGCACTCTGAGGCACTAAACATTTCTAAAACATAATCCAGCTAAAAGGCTGCTGTGACAACAAAGACTACTACTACTCCTCCCTATCCACTCTTCCGTTTTCCAACAGAACCGTGAACTTCCAGATGTTCAAGCTGGTTTTAGAAAAGGCAAAGGAACCAGAGATCAAATTGCCAACATTCACTGGATCAACAAAAAAGCAAGAGAGTTCCAGAAAAATATCTATTTCTGCTTTATTGACTATGTCAAAGCCTTTGACTGTGTGGATCACAATAAACTGGAAAACTCTGAAAGAAATGGGAATACCAGACCACCTGACCTGCCTCTTGAGAAACCTGTATGCAGGTCAGGAAGCAACAGTTAGAACTGGACATGCAACAATAGACTGGTTCCAAATATGAAAGGAGTATGTCAAGGCTGTATGTCACCCTGCTTATTTAATTTATATGCAGAATACACTATGACAAACGCTGGGCTGGATGAAGCATAAGCTGGAATCAAGATTGCCGGGAGAAATATCAATACCCTCAGATAGGCAGATGACACCACCCTTATGGCAGAAAGTGAACAACAACTAAAGAGCCTCTTGATGAAAGTGAAAGAGGAGAGTGAAAAGGTTGACTTAAAGCTCAACATTCAGAAACCAAAGTCATGGCATCCAATCCCATCACTTTATGGCAAACAGATGCGGAAACAGTGAAAACAGTGGCTGACTTTATTTTGGGGGGCTCCAAAATCACTGCAAATGGTGATTGTAGCCATGAAATTAAAAGACACTTACTCCTTGGAAGGAAAGCTATGACCAACCTAGATAGCATATTAAAAAGCAGAGACATTACTTTGCCAACAAACGTGTCTGGTTAAGGCTATGGTTTTTCCAGTAGTCATGTATGGATGTGAGAGTTGGACTCTAAGGAAAGCTAAGCACCAAAGAATTGATGCTTTTGAACTATGGTGTTGCAGAAGACTCTTGAGAGTCCCTTGGACTTCACGGAAATCCAGCCAATCCATCCTAAAGGAGATCCGTCCTGGGTGTTCATTGGAAGGACTGATGTTGAAGCTGAAATTCCAATACTTCGGCCACCTGATGCTGGGAAAGATTGAGGGCAGGAGGAGAAGGGGACGACAGAGAATGAGATGGTTGGATGGCATCACTGACTCAATAGACATGAGTTTGGGTAGACTCCAGGAGTTGGTGATGGACAGGGAGGCCTGGCGTGCTGCAGTCCACGGGGTCACAAAGAATTGGACACTGAGCGACCGAACTGAACCAATTGAGATGTAATTTACATACCATACAGTTCATCCTCTTAAAGTGCAGAAAAATCAATGGGTCTTGGGGTGTTATACGATCAATGTTAAATCAAACAACATAAAATTATCTTAACCATTTTAAGTGTACGTTTCAGTGCCATTAATTACATTCACAATGATGTGCAACCAAGACTGCTGTTGCTACTTTCCTATCCATTTTTACAGTTAAAACTTTTGAGGACTTCCCATGGTGGTGCAGTGGATAGAAATCCACCTGCCAATGCAAGGGACATGAGTTCAATCCCTGGTCCAGGAAATTCCACATGCCCACAGAACAACTAAGCCCATGTGCCGTAACTACTGAGCACCAGCACCTCAACTACTGAAGCTAGCTCGCATCAGGGCCAGTGAACCACAACTCTTAAGCCTGCGCGCTACAACTACTGAACCCCACACACTAGAGCCTGTGCTCCGCAACAAAAGAAGCCACTGCAATCAGAAGCCCATGTACTGCAATGAAGGGTAGCCCCAGCTCACTGTAACTACAGAAAGCCTGAGAAAAGCAAGGAGGACACAGGGCCGCCAAAAACAAATGAATAAGGATTTATTTAAAACAAACAAAAACTTTTGAAACAATCACTTCACTTCTAAATGGCTTTCTGGAAAATTTACAATTATAAAAAGCAAAGTTCACTACAGTTTATACTCTCAATGGGAGCAATACTGCAACCAAGGGGGCAAAAACTGGTCCTGGAGGAGGGTAAAAAAATCTCAGATAATGGTTTATGGTTCTGCACAACTTAACCCTATGAGACAATATATTACTCCTTAGCATTTAATTTCTCTTGCTCGGGAGAAATTGATTTTAAACTTTTCTCTTTAGAAATGTGATCATGGGGAAGAAAAGGTTGAGAAACACTGTGCTTCAGAATTCAAAAGCAAGCATTGTTACTGAAAATGAAGAACACCACCTTCAGACAACGCTCAACCTGCAAAATAGGTAGTATCCACTGAAACCAAAGCCAAGTTGTAAATTGCTTTCCTAACCCACAAGACCTGATTTTATCTATAATGTTAAACAAAATAATGCGGGAAATTACATTATAGTTTAAATATTTATAATAAAGCAAAAAATAAAGCACACTAGCTAAAAACTTGTTTATCCCAAATTTTTATAATTCAGAAAGACTAAGAACTAAGCATAAACAGGAAAAGAAGAGAAAGAAAATAAAGGCAGACTCTTTGATGTCATATAGTCTTAATTTACTTAACTAAATAAATACCTATATAGTGATTTCCTAACACCAGACCTCTACAGAGTACCAAATTTCTACCCACATCATGTGTGTTTCATAGAATTTAAAAACTTAAAAGCACACTAAAAGATGCCTTTATGATTCAATACCATGGTTTTAGGTGTTAGGAAATCAGTTTGATGTTTCTTTTAAAGACAGTTCTGCAGATATGAACTTAAAAGAATTCTATTCCTTTATGAAATTTATGTTATCTTCATTCCTTCCTAACAAGTGATCAATTTATACTTTTCTTTCAGTCAACATTCATTCGACAAGCAAAAGTAACTATATAAGTAACATACTATGTCATCTTACAGGTTCATAAATCTTGGCAGAAAGCGTAACAAAATGAATTCACTGTAACTTCTACAATTATGTCAATAAATGGGAAAATGTATATGAAAACACTTTATAAGCCATAAAGCAATATACAAACCAAAGTTACTGTTATTCACCACCAGATGGTGATCATGTCTTATTTAAAGCAAATGCTGACACCTTATTTGGGGGCCAGCCAGCTGACTACTAAAAATTATTAATAACTAAACCAGGTTATCTAAATAAAATGCTGGTGATTTAAGAATGTTCCACTGAAACATCAGCAAAACATAACCCATAAAAAACAGGTTCTGCATAACGATTTCTAAAGGCACTGATCTGCTCATATTAACATTTGATAGTTATATAATTTAAGGAAAAAGACAACAGGGCATGTTTTCTGACAGCGTCTCATGGGTTATTTAACCATTCAGACAACCCTGATTCACCCCAATGTGTTATTTTAAAGCAAATTCCAGGTATGATTTCATCCACAAATATTTCATTGTATATCTCTAAAGGATAAGGACTATTTTAAAATAAGCATAATAATCTTACCACTTAAAAACTGGAAATTCTGTGACATTAAAGAATTAATAGTTTTTTTATCTTTTAAAAAATTTTCAATTAACCAAGAAATAAAATTGTATTTTATTGTTACCTCTGTAGCAGATGCTGGCAGCACCTCACCTTGAACCCCTCACCCCTTACGTGATTCCAGTACAGGCCAAACTGCAAGCATGTGCAAGTCTTCACATGAGGGTTTCTCTCTGACTACGAGGTGGGAAAGTTACGTGTTTTTTTGTTTGTTTGTTTTTCCTTTTATTTTTATTAGTTAGGTTAAGTGTTCTTGAGAGCTTCCCTAAACCAGTAACCAGCAGAGCTCCTTAACTCCTCTGGTGGGATCAATGTGAGATATGATTGACACTGTCTTTTACCTCAACAGAAAAATTTAGTCTTAGTTGCTGATAAAGCACATTCCATATTGGCTTATTCTCCCCTTTCCCAGGACCACTCCCAATACCCTCCCCACTGATGCTTCCTGGCATCAATTTCCAAATAAACTATTTCCACTCACAGTTTTGTCTGCTGCCAGGGAAATCCAACACAAGACAACCTCTTAATTCTGAATGAAAGCTATGGACATCCTACGAAAATGTAAACATAAAAATTTATGTATGTTCAAAGAGTTTAGAAACAACCCAAAAGGCATACAAATATCTCAGTTTAAAGAATCCTTCCTTCCTACAGGTTCAGGATAGCTGAGATATTAAATATGTTTTTGAAAGTGTTTCACTGAGATTCTTCAGCTATGTTGAAAAACTAACATCCTCACCTCTTACTCTTCACTACTGCTATAGAATTATCATTATCTCAGTATTTAGTTCTCATGTGCACAAAATCTAATCTAACTGAATGAAATTCAAACTGTTGACTTAATTTCCACACTTTAAAAAGAAAAATAAAATTTCCTAGAGTGACTGCTTTACTAAGACTGGGTCCCTTATAAAGTTACAGTTACAGTTCAGTCACTCAGTGGTGTCCGACTCCTTGCCATCCCATAGGGTGCAACATGCAGGCTTTTCTGTCCATCACCAACTCCCAGAGCTTGATCAAACTCATGTCCATCGAGTCGGTGATGCTGTCCAACCATGTCATCCTCTGTCATCCCCTTCTCCTCTCGCCTTCAATCTTGCCCAGCAACAGATTCTTTTCCAGTGAGTCAGTTCTGCACATCAAGCAGCTGAAGATTTGGAGCTTTAGCTTCAGCATCAGTCCTTCCAATGAGTATATAGGACTGATTTCCTTTACAATGGACTGGTTTGATCTCATTGCAGTCCAAGGGACTCTCAAGAGTCTTCTCCAGCACCACAGTTCAAAAGCATCAATTCGGTGGGAGGGGGGGATCGGGATGGGGAATACATGTATATCCATGGCTGATTCATGTCAATGTATGACAAAAACCACTACAATATTGTAAAGTAATTAGCCTCAAACTAATAAAAAAAAAAAGCATCAATTTTTCAGCCATTAGCCTTCTTTTTTTTTTTTTAATTTTTATTAGTTGGAGGCTAATTACTTTACATCATTACAGTAGTTTTTGTTATACATTGATATGAATTAGCCATGGATTTACATGTACTCCCCATCCCAGTCCCCCCTCCCACCTCCCTCTCAGCCATTAGCCTTCTTTATGGTCCAACTCTCACATCCATACATGACTACTGGAAAAACCATAGCTTTGACTAGATGGAACTTTGTCAGCAAAGTTATGTCTCTGCTTTTTAATATGCTGTCTAGGTTGGTCATAGCTTTTCTTTCAAGGAGTAAGTGTCTTTTAATTTCATGGCTGCAGTCACCATCTGCAGTGATTTTGGAGCCCAAGAAAATAAAGTCTGTCACTGTTTCCACTGTTTCCCCATCTATTTGCCATGAAGTGATGGGACCAGAGCCATGATCTTAGTTTCTTGAATGTTGAGTTTTAAGCCAACTTTTTCACTCTGCTCTTTCACTTTCATCAAGAGTCTCTTGAGTTCCTCCTTGCTTTCTGCCATAAGGGTGGTGTCATCTGCATATCTGAGGCTACTGATATTTCTCCCAGCAATCTTGATACCAGCTTGTGCTTCATCCAGCCCAGCGTTTCTCATGATGCACTCCACATATAAGTTAAATAAGCAGGGTGACAATGTACAGTCATGACGTACTCCTTTCCCAATTAGGGACCAGTACATTGTTCCATGTCCGGTTCTAACTGTTGCTTCCTGACCTGCATACAGGTTTCTCAGGAGGCAAGTCAGGTGGTCTAGTACTCCCATTACTTTAAGAATTTTCCACAGTTTGTTGTGATCCACACAGTCAAGGGCTTTGGTGTAGTCAATAAAGCAGAAGTACATGTTTTTCTGGAATTCTCTTGCTTTTTCTATGATCTGAAGGATGTTTGTCAATTTGATCTCTGGTTCCTCTACCTTCTCTAAATCCAGCTTGACCAGCTGGAAGTTCTCAGTTCACATACTGTTGAAGCCTTGCCTGGAGAATTTTGAGCATTACTTTGGTAGTTTGTGAGATGAGTGCAATTGTGCGCTAGTTAGAGCATTCTTTGGCATTCCTTGGGATATGAATGAAAACTGACCTTTTCCAGTCCTGTGGCCACTGCTCAGTTTTCCAAATTGGCTGGCATATTGAGTGCAGCACTTTCACAGCATCATCTTTTAGGATTTTAAAGAGCTCAGCTGGAATTCCATCACCTCCACTAGCTTTCTAAGGCCCACTCAACTTCACATTCCAGGATGTCTGGCTCTAGGTGATGGCTCACACACCATCATGGTTATCTGAATCATAAAGATCTTTTTTGTATAGTTCTTCTGTGTATCCTTGCCACTTCTTCTTGATATCTTCTGCTTCTGTTAGGTGCAAACCATTTCTGTCCTTTATTGTGCCTAAGACGGACAAGTCATGGTGGAGAGTTCTGACAAAATGTGCTCCACTGGAGAAGCGAAGGGTAAACCACTTTGATATTTTGCCTGGAGAACCCCATGAACAGCATGAAAAGGCAAAAAGATAGGACACTGAAAGATGAACTCCCCAGGTCAGTAGGTGCCCAATATGCTACTGGAGAATACAGGAAAAATAACTCCAGAAAGAATGAAGAGACGGAGCCAAAGCAAAATCAATGCCCAGTTGTAGATGTGATTGGTGATGAAGCAAAAGCGTGATGCTGTAAAGAACAATATTGCCTAAGAACCTGGAATGTTAGATCCATGAATCAAGGTAAACTGGAAGTTGTCAAACAGGAGATGGAAAGAGTGAACCTCAACATTTTAGGAATCAATGAACTAAAATGGACCAGAATGGCAGCATTTAATTCAGAAGACCCTTTTCTACTACTGTGGGCAAGATTCCCTTAGTAGAAATAGAATAGCCATCATGGTCAACAAAAGAATCCAAAATGCAGTACTTGGATGCAATCGCAAAAATGACAGAACGATTTTGCTCATTTCCAAGACAAAACATTCAATATCACAGTAATCTAAGTCTATGCCTTAACCAGTAATTCTGAAGAAGCTGAAGTTGAATGGTTTTATGATGATGTACAAGACCTTCTAGAACTAACACCAAAAAAACACATCTTTTTCATCAGAGAGAACTGGAATGCAAAAGTAGGAAGTCAAGAGATACCTGGAATAACAGGCCAGTTTCACCTTAAGAGTACAAAATGAAGCAGGGGAAAGGGTAACAAGAGTTTTGCCAAGAGAATGCATTTGGTCATAGCAATATCCTCTTCCAACAATACGAAAGACGACTCTACACATGGACATCACAAGATAGTCAATACCGAAATCAGACTGATTATATTCTTTGCAGCCAAAGATAGAGAAGCTCTACACAGTCAGCAAAAACAAGACTGTGAGCTGACTGTGGTTCAGATCATGAACTCCTTATTGCCAAATTTAGACCTTTATTGACTATGCCAAAGTCTCTGACTATGTGGATCACAATAAACTGTGGAAAATTCTGAAAGAGACCAGAGACCACTTGACCTGTCTCTTGAGAAACCTGTATGCAGGTCAGGAAGTAACAGTTAGAACTGGACATGCAACAACAGACTGGTTCCAAACAGGAAAAGGAGTACATCAAGGCTGTATATTGTCACCCTGCTTATTTAACTTATATGCACAGCACATCATGAGAAATGTTGGGCTGGAGGAAGTACAAGCTGGAATCAAGATTGCTGGGATAAATATCAATAACCTAAGATATGCAGATGACACCTCCCTTATAGCAGAAAGTGAAGAGGAACTAAAGAGCCTCTTGTTGAAAGTGAAAGAGGAGAGTGAAAAAGTTGACTTAAAGCTCAACATTCTGAAAACTAAGATCATGGCATCCGGTCCCATCACTTCATGGCAAACAGATGGGGAAACAATGGAAACAGTGGCTGACTTTATTTTTCTGGGCTCCAAAATCACTGCAGATGGTGATTGCAGCCATGAAATTAAAAGACACTTACTCCTTGGAAGGACTATCTAGGACCAACCTAGACAGCATATCTAAAAGCAGAGACATTAGGTCCATCTAGTCAAGGCTATGGTTTTTCCAGTGGTCATGTATGGATGTGAGAGTTAAGACTATAAAAAAAGTTGAGGGCCAAATAACTGATGCTTTTGAACTGTGGTGTTGGAGAAGACTCTTGAGAGTCCCTTGGACTGCAAGGAGATCCAACCAGTCCATCCTAAAGGAGATCAGTCCTGGGTGTTCACTGGAAGGACTGATGCTGAAGCTGAAGCTCCCACACTTTGGCCACCTGATATGAAGAGCTGACTCATTTGAAAATACCCTGATGGTGGGAAAGATTGAGGGCAGGAGGAGAAGGGGACAACAGAGAATGAGATGGTTGGATGGCATCACCATCTCAATGGACATAGGTTCGGGTGGACTCTGGGAGTTGGTGATGGACAGGGAGGCCTGGCATGCTGCTGTTCATGGGTTTGCAAAGAGTCAGACACAACTGAGCGACTCAACTGAACTGAGACTTAAATTGAAGAAAGCAAGGAAAACCACTAGACCATTCAGGTCTGACCTAAATCAAATCCCTTATGAAGTGACAAATAGATTCAAGGGATTAGATCTTATAGACAGAGTGCCTGAAGAACTATGGATGGAGGTTCATGACATTTTACAGGAGGCGGTGATCAAAACCATTCCCAAGAAGAAATGCAAAAAGGCATAATGGCTCTCTAAGGAGGCCTTCCGAATAGCTGAGAAAAGAAGAGAAGTGAAAGGCGAAAAAGAAAAGGAAAGATATACCCATCTGAATGCAGAGTTCCAAAGAACAGCAAGGAGAGTTAAGAAAGCCTTCCTAAGTGATCAATGCAAAGAAACAGAGGAAAACAACATAACAGGAAAGACTAGAGTTCTCTTCAAGAAAATATGAGATACCAAGGAAATATTTCACACAAAGATGGATGCTATAGTCTTTGTTTATTTGACAGCATATGACAGCAGTGCCCACAACTTCATTCTTGAAACCTGGCCATCCTGTGACACTGCTTTTCTGATTTCTCCTCTTATTTCTTTGTTCTGTATTGGATTCATCTGCAGGCTCACTTCTGCACTTTCCTTGAAAGCTGGTTCTATTTTAGGACTTCATTTCTTTAGTCTAAGTTATCTCATCCATCTCTTTGTTTTAACTTAAATATGTTGTCTCACTCTGCTGGTTGTGGATATGTTCAAGTTCAGAAAACTTAACCAGAGTGGCTTCAAAAATATGGGGTTATTTTTTCTCATATAACAGGAAGTCCAGACTAATGAGTTATTAGTCTGGTTAAGTGGTTCAACAAAGCCACCATACTAAACTTTATGAAACACCCAAATATTTCATGCTGTTTCTAGCATCTAGACCTCCATATATGCTGTTCCCTCTATTATCAACTTACCTCATCTTCATCCTCAAAGTTGTTTGTCATATCTTAAGAAATCATTCTTTTATCCATTCCTTGATTATTCTTTTATCAGGATTAAGTGCACCTGGTGAATATTATTCTACTTATTCTACTTATAATTCACACTGTATTATAAATGCCTTTCTGATTACCTCTATCCCACATTAAGTACGCCTCTATCTTCAGCACCTAGGACAGTGCC